AGGTGCTGGAGGAGGAGGAGAGGTAGGCCAGACTGGGGATGGGGGGGGGACGCATACCTTGTGTAAACTGCTCATTCAGGTAGTTAATTGGGCAGGAAACACATCACACCACCTTAAGACTCTTTGCAGACACTGTGTAAAACATCCTTTTACCAGTAGGGGCATTAAACTGAGCTAGATCTTCTGCCTTATTTTTCCTGTGTGAATCTCTTACAACAAAGGCCTTTCATCCACAGGCCTTCTCCAAATCACGGTTTGTTATGGCAGCCCCCCTCCCGGCCCTCCACCCCCCATTTTACTGCATGTTATTTCCCAAAAGGCTTACATTTGTGCTGAGTCATACATGTGTGTTATTAAAATGTGGTAATTAGCGAGGTTGCAGGAGTCAATAAAAGGGGAGAGCGGGGCATGTTTGATCCTCTCCTGCTGCAGAAGCTGAACTGTGAACACATTTCTCTTCAGTTCTTTTTCCACAGCCAAAATGTCAAAAGGGCATTTTGTTAGATTCTAAAGACAGACAGAACTAGACAACCAAGAGGATTCAACACTGTATAACACATTATATATTTGTGCTCCAAACAAGAACTTGCCCTGGATTCAAAGTGACGCGGCACTCACTGAACTCTGCTTCACCTGAAGCTGCTGATAAAAGGTTGGTAAGTTCATAGCAACAAGTCATAAAAACTCACTTACTTTGTCAACAAGGCATAACTCATTAGTTTTAAAGACCTCTGAACGGAGACCCCTACAGGATCAATTAATCACAGCGGGCTCATGATTATTGTATGATTAGTGGCATTTAGTGAAGTCCAAACGGCAGAGTTTCTTAACCTGAGAAATTAAAAGTTTTTGTTATTACACAGCAATTAACTATTTGTAGCTTGAATAAATAATAATCAATTGCAGAAACATGTATTAATCTGTTATGGAGTAGTTACATCTATACCAGCAGTCCGTAACCTTTTTTGTTCCAAGTACTGGTCAGCCTGTACCACCTGCTACCTGTGACCTATTATTTTAAAATATTGCCAAATTATCTTTTAATAAAAAAGTAAATGGATATGACTGAATTTTCTTTGAATTAAGTAATTTTTTTCACTGCGCTGGTACCAAATAACTGTCCATAATATGGACTGGTACTGGTCCGTGGACCGGGGGTTGGGGACCCCTGATCTATACAGTCTTCCAGTTACAGCCGACCCTTCAAGGGGAACTGTATTGCTGATGTGGCCCCCGGTGAAAATGAGTTTGACCCCCCCTGATCTACAATAAAAGACAAGAATGTATGTGTGTCATATAAAGCAAAAGATTTTAACAATTCTTTACTACATTTATAACTAATACAATGCTTGAATATCACTCTTACTGGTATCAGGGTATTTTACATACCCTCCCTCTCTTCAACTTAGTTTCAGCTAATCAAAATCTCTCTCAAAAACAAAAACAAAAGATGGTTGATTGCATCTGTTGAGAAAAAGAAACTCAAAAAGAGAGGAAATGAAGCGCCTTCTTGGCTATAGGCGAACTGACTTAACAGACACCACCCTGGAGCAGAGTGTGTTGTTTGGGAGCCTTATAAAAATCCCTAAACCTATAAATCCTGGCTTTTCTGTATTTCCCAAGAAGGTTGGAGACACCAGGCATGTAACTGAGGTAATAAGTGTTCAACGGCTCCTACTTGAAGAGGGATAAAAGGAGAGGAGGATAGTAGAAACCGGAGGAAGGAAAGGAAAGGAAAGGAAAGGGGGAGAGGGAGGGAGAGCAGGTGTGTGTGTGTGTGTGTGTGTGCGTGCGCATGTGTATGCAAGTGTGTGGGTGGTAAAGTGACAGGCGATGATTAGCCCAACCAGAGGAGGATATGTGGGAGGGAGAGTGTGGGTGTAGTGGGGCTGGTGTTAGAGAGAAAGAGAAGGAGACTCTATCTCTTTAGACTGAGATATACACAAATGGATTAGAGAACACTAGCATGACATAAACACGGAGAATGATTTATGGGGGGGCTAGGGAGGATTTTGTTTTTGCCCAGAACATGCACACAGCTCTGTACATCTCCATTCGTGGATGGACACATTGTATTGAAGCCACGGTGGATTCCTACGGGAACACACTGTGTTCAAAGGAGGGCATTCTTTGCTGCATGTTGATGTGTTAATTATGCAATCAGCAACGGAGTCGTTGTCTCATGAGGAAAATTCATGCATTTCATGCATCGCCCTAATGCATGTGTGTTACTCCTGTGGTATTTATAGACTAGAAAACAAACAAACTCAGTCATCCATATCATTTAAGATAACAAATAAAAGTCTGGGGTTAGATTTCTTAGAGTAATCGTATCAGCATTGGCTGCAAATCAAATTAACACCGAAACCCAACAACAAACCCATTGGCCCACCATAGTCTAAAATGGGCTAAAGCTCATCTTCCTTTTGGCCAATAGAGGTCACTAAGCCGGACCAGAGTTTGCACCATTTGTAGGCTGAGGGCAGGGTTGCTCACTAAAAGTTTGGGCTAAAAACTGAAAATCACTGTACATTATAACTTTACAAAAATGCCAACATGACAGGTTTTGCTGAGATTTTTTGAAGAAAGAAAGTGGAAGTTGCCAAAAAACTGGTGACCAAAAAAGCTGCGTTCATTGTAACAATAACTTGTATTGTGAACACGTTTAGAAAAAATAAAATAAAATCACAGTTCTAAATGTGTACGCATCCAAAATAATGCAGAAATCTTAGGAGATCCAAAGTAAACTATTCATCAAACATCAACACTTCCTCTCACACACATTTGTTTCCAATTCAGACTGTGGTTTGTTCTTCTGTCATATAGGGAAATGTCCCCACCCATCAAACAGGAAGCTCTGACCTGACGCCTGTGCCTGGATATAAATAAGGTCACAACACCAGCACTGACCTCAGGGTGTGGCCAAAATATACAAAAAAAGAAAAAGGTATTGAGCGACAGACACGCGGACACACACACAGACAGAGCTGGAAAAACCCCAACCCCTCCTTCAGTGCAGGGGACTTTGGGTGTAGCTACTACATTGTACAAAAGAGTTTCAACACAACAGGCGGTCGCATTTCTGCTGTTGCTTGACAAACACAGACAGAGACAAATATAAAGACAGACAAGATTAGTCGTTGACCAGAAGAATGAGTCACTTCTAATATCCAGAGTTTCCTCCAGACAGAGACTCTGAAAATGGATTCAGTTTTCACTTCCCCCAGTTTGACAAAAGCGGCAAGTACGATGACATGCAGTACTTATTCACATGCGTATTACACACAGACACAGAGACAATCAGTGGATAATGGTTCCCAGACATCAGACATCTTACTACTGCCCCATCACAGAGAGTCGTCAAATTAAAAAAAAAAAAAAGCAAACAGAAAAAAAGAGATTTCACAGATCTCCACACTGACACTCTTTAGTGGTTGGGGATATCAAATAATAATCTGGTCACATTATGCTTACGCAAAAAAGTTCTTACAATGTGTTTAAATGGAAATAATGTCACATTGGCTTAATACCCATATCTATTTACGTTTTGTCATAGTATCTAGCAGGAGGAGTTACATAACATGTTGGATGGGATTTCATGCATATGAGCAGCACAGCAACATGCCTGTATTTGACAGTTAATCACTGAAGTGTTGCAAGTATGCACTATAGAGATCACTTTTAAATTATTGGTGGTGCACAGCCACACAAGTCCCTGGGTGCTCAGTGCTATAGTACACCAGTGTAGTGTAGCATTGTCTTGGTCTGTTTGTGTGACTGACTTTCTCAGCTGCTCAGTTGTGCAGATGCACAAAGAATGAAATATATTGTGATAACATTGGCATATAACATGGATTAAATTTGAAAGTTTAAACAATGACTAAAATAATGCAGATCAAAAGTATTGAAAAATATTGTTCATTAGCTGACTGCAGTGGATGGAGACGGGAGTTCCTGCTTTTTAAAAAGCACAATTAACCTTCAAAACTCAATTTTTTTTCTTTCCTGGTCATCAGATGAATTTTTTGGCTTTTAAGTTTCTGCTATTGTACGCAGTGTTACCTTAACTCAGAGGTGCAGCGGTAAACTTTGGAATCGTGGTAAACCTCAAGGGCCGTGAAATAGACAGTCAGAGATTGAGGGTGCAGAGTTGGATGCTGAATAAAACATTGTGAGAAAACTTTCATGTCAGTCACTGATGTCTGATGGAAACCCAGACTGACTCTTAGCTCCATGGCATCAAAAGTCCCTGTCAAATCAACATCTACTTCCACTCAGATCAAACAGTCCAAAGCACAGTGGAAAAAGTATCTTTTCAAACAGGAGCTGATTTCCCACGGGCTGCTGACAGCAAACACAGGCACACTCACAGGCTCCCATCACCTAGGAAACAACTCACTATGAGAGGACCGGGTGTTGTTTCTCCAATTGACCTTTACATTAGGAGAACACACACAAGGACACATCTATTTAACGTGACAGCTGTCACTCACCCTTGATGTGAGACACCTTAAAATCGTTTTACAACACAAACAAAATTTTTTTTTTTTTGGGAACAATACTTCTTCGCTTGTGTTGCCGTCAGCTCTGATGCTGTAAATAAATGATGTTCCCACCTCACTGTACAGACAGCAGTGCATTCATTGTTCACAGGTTCTTTCACAGCTGACATTTTCTGACAATACCAGACTCTGACATTGGGGAAACAAAGAAACGTAGTTCCTTCAAGACAGAATCTGACAACAAACTGCTTAAAGAAGAAAATAATTCAGTGGGAATTCTAATAAAAAAGTCTTTCTGGGTCAACCCACGCACACACTTTTTGAATGGTCCTGTCACATTGCAGCATTGCAGATTGATGCCTGATGTATACAGTGTGTGTAGAAAGAGGTGTAGCTGAAGGTCAGTATAACTGTGGACACATTCATGACAAAAAAAAAAAAACAGCCAGAAGAAGAGAGAATGGCTGTTGCCTGAAGGACATATTGGCATTCACTTACCCAAGTCTTTGGATCCTTGACTTTCACTGGCCAGTTCACCCATTCTGACCAGAGCATCAAAGTAGCCTTTGGCAGCAAATGTCACACCTACAAGGAAATATTGTCTCTTTTAAAATGTGCAGTGAATGAAAAACATTTATACAGTCAAGGTTATTTTTCAACCAAAGTTGACAGCAGATGCAGAAAAATCAGCAAAATGGTATTTTGTTCCTCCTTTTTTCCCCTCATATGCATTTCCTGCAGTGAATCCCAGCTTCTTGCCATCACTCCCTATGTTCCTTCCTAATTACCCAACACCATCTTATTGTTGGCACGCTGCATGCTTGATTGCAAGGAGGAATCATTTCCTGACAGATTATCTGTGCTTGCTATTTTTGCTCTGTTTATAGCTTTTGTCTGGGTGAAAAGAAGTTAGTTTTAAGTTGAAAGAGACGGACAAAAAAAAAACAAAAAAAACATGGCTGCCAGTGAAAACTGTAGTAAAAGCTGTGGCTCTTACAGTTTTATGACCATCTTTGATTTCTTTGTGTCTGGCATTTAAATAATAAACACTACCCTATATATATATATATATATATATATATATATATATATATATAATATACACACCCATAGGCTGCTGCCATGGTCCTATGATGCTTAATATATCTCTTTATGCAATGGCTGTCAGTTGCAGTTTACTGCTGTTCTGCTTGGACATTGCATTTTACAAGTGCAACTCAGTTTTACTTTCATTTTCACTCTGACATCTGCTCTAATGATGCTACGCTACATTTTACATCTACACAAAGCATTATTATTTGGTAAAGCAATCAGGAAAATAGGGGAGCTATAGGTCAACGAGGAAGTAACTAGTTTGGCATAAAGGTCACCGCATTCAAATCCAGATGTGAGTTCATAACAAACCTTAACCATGATAAATGAGTGTTGCACCAAAAAGGGCATCAGGCATGACATTATGACAGAAGGACCGTCAACAAAGACTAAATTACAAAATAATTACCAAACAAAATTGCTAGACCAAGTCTCAGACTTGAACATGGTTAATTCCTGAAGCTGCTGTAAAGTAAAGTCCCTACCTGGAAACCAGGTCTACGCCTAACGTAACTAAAAAAGGTACATTTTCACCTTTTTTGTTTTAGAGGAAGTATCATAGACTAATGGTACTGAGGATAATTTTAAAATTGATCAAATAAAGTCAATATTGTTCACTGCACTTATAAGTGTTGAAGTCCTTGACTGCTTAAAATAATCCCTTTCCAGGATACTATATAAACCGCTTTAGTCGAGGGTCACAAAAACAAGGTCCACATTTGTAGCAACAGAAAATCAATCAGTGGAGTTAATCTTATCAGCGGTAATATTTCTTCTTCTTTCAAAATAGCTCTGAAAATCCAAGAGAGACCCTGGCTTGACAGATCAATAACCACCTATGCCCTCGTTATTTCCACTACCGGCCAGCACGAGTCGGCAAAGGTCGACTGGGACAGAGTCAGCTTCCAGTGCTGTCTGCACTTCTACCATTCGTGGTGTCAATCAGTCCATCTCTGCTGAATAATGGCTGCTGCTTTTTGGAGGTGAATTCAACAGCGGTCCAGGTGACAGATGGGCCCTGTGCCTGCAGACAGCTGCCAGGTGACAGACACATTTACAACAATGGGCTGGCAGGGCCAGGCTAATTCTAGCAGACAGATGTAGCCCTGCGATAGAGGGTGTCTACCAGGCTGGGAGCATCACAGCTCTGCTCCGGGACCCAGGGACATATGCTAATGCTAATCTCAATTACAGCTGAGTCAACAACAGTAGATAACGTGTTTGTTTGTTGTTGTTTTTTTTGGATTTGGGGTTTATTATTTGGGAAACACCTGTGAACTAAGGACGGAGCCTCCAGAGCATCACAGCTCATTTCTCTCCATTATCACAATCAGATTTCCTACTGTAGCTGATCTGTTGTTGAAACAGTGCTTGGACGCGCCTGTGTGTCTGTGTGTGCACAAAGCTAAAGGAGATAATAAACTGGATCTATGAAGAAACTTAACTCCTGTCTATTGAAATGTGTTGTGGAGGGGGATGACGGCAACAGACAGAGAGGATTAACGGATCCCTGACTGCAAGGCAGACAGACAAGCAGTTTGTGAGGGAGGGGGTCGTGTCATCATCTCAGACTGAGCCGTCCCTCATCCCTCCCTCAGTGTGAGAAATGGAAAACAGTTGACTCTCAAACAGGAAGCTATTGGCTGCACCTGCATTGTACTTTTCATGCTGTCACGGGGCTTACATCATAAGACTGGGTTTGACAGGCAGCAGGGTTCATTAAATCGAATGCATGTGTTGGTTTTACACTTAATGACAAGCACTGCCAAGTTTTCCAAATGGGTGTTCTATTTAAAAAACGAAACAACAATTTCCAGATCCAGGAAGCTGAACCTAAAAAAGCGTTCTGTGTCATTTCTGGTGTTGAGCAATTTCAGTGATTGCACCATATGGGTGAGAGCATGTCCCCCCACCACCCCCTCTGCCTCCCACAAATCCTAGCCTCTTAGTCTGTTGGGTCAAGTTGATCTAAAGTGGGGTATTTCGTGGCCCCAACAGTCTACTGCATACCTCACCTCCAGCAGAACAAGGATTAGTAAGTGTTTTTTTTGTGAGAGGACAGCAGTCCAGGATTAAAGAGTTAGAAACTCATCTTAACATGGACTGTGTTCAAAATGCAAGTCCTGTTGCTCTATTGAGATTTTTTTTTACTAAGATGAGATTTTTAATACAACAACCAGACTCCAGTGACAAGTTTACAGCATTGAAGTGACCAGAGTGTGCAGATGTGGTATCACACCCTGTGTTTACAGAAGCTAATATGGATGTCAGCATGTGTTTCTTTTTCTTTTCCTGTATTTGTAACAACATTGTAATTTGTAAAAAAAAAATTCAGATAGATATATAGATATCCAAAGGCAGAAATAGAGACAGAAAAGGACAAGGAGAAAGCTGCCTTGGCTTTTTGCCCGAACCTGCGGCAAAAAACAAGCACGCAGACAAATAAGTTGAGAAAAAAAGAAGTACTTACTGGCCAGGGCCTTCTCATAGTTCTTCCCCATGGCAACAAAGTTTCGTAAGCAGGGGTTGAACTGCTCCATGATTGTCTGCAAGAGGGAAAAAAAGGGAAAGAAATGGATGAGAAATGAATGTTTCACTTATCAAAAGAGCGTGGTCAAGGGCAGAGAAGAAAGACTTGCACCCTGCTTTATCTGTCCTGTCATGTATTTGCTGGGTCTCTCTCCGTCTTTCTGACAGACTCAAACCTCCCTCAGCTGCATGTAGCATGTCTCATCCAAACAGCCATTATCACATCCCTCAAACGTCTGTGTGTCTTCAGTGAATGTTAATGGAGGGCAAAAAAGAGCTATTCCCCTGCATTTTAAAAGTAAAGTATATAAATCAATTGTTAGATATATAGTTATTAATTAGGGCTTAACTTTTCATCACAAGTTTGAAAATCTGTCCAGCAAAGAATATTATTTTATCATTATTATAAACTTTTTTTTACCCTTTGCCCTGTCATTCGACCTGTTGGAATAAACAGCAGAGCATTTGGCTGTTAGCAAGCAAGCACAACAGTCCTCCTACACAGAAAAATAAACAGTTGTCTTAAAATTGTTACAAATCAACAATCTCAACAATACCTTGTCTGCACTTGAAATAAATCCTTGTATATCTCACACGCATTAAGCAGACACCTTAACAAGAGCTGGGAAAATGGCGGCTACTGGCAGAATCAACTATTCTATTCAATTCACTGTTAACGATTCAACCGTCAGCAGGATTTTGTTTTTGTTTTATCTCCAAGTACCATGACATTTATCTTACAAGGGTGAAGAATAAAGAGAGATATATATTTATTAAACTTTCTGTGTCCATGGAGAAACACATTGAAGTACTTATTAGTACAAATGCAGTAAGAGGTAACCGACAAATCCACGTAAGAGTTCCATGAAAATACACCTAGTTTGCTACTATAATAAGGTAGATGTTATCATTTAAAAAGAAATGATACAGTATATACAGTATATACTGTGTGTGTGTGTGTGTGAATGATTGAGCTATATACAGCTCCATACTACTACAGTGCCAACTAGGTTTCAAATGAAGAGATGGCAAGATGCCTGACATTTCCACCGCCATTGTTTCCTCTACTTCATGTCTGTCTTCCCTCAACCCTCTTCCTTGTGTGTTCCTCCAGGGCTTCCTCCAATTAGCCAGTCCCTAGTCAGCTCAGTCAAGAACCAGCCAGGGGACAGAGTCAACACTCACAACAGTGCTGCTGCAGCAGTCTCTACACAAGCCATCATTACTGCAGGAGAACACTTAATAATCCACTTCTCGCCTGAAACCATGCCTTGGCGGTGAGAATGATAGAGCACAGTGTCATCAGTGTCAACCTGAAGAAACCCCAGTCATTTCTTAAAAAAAAAAAAAAACCCTGAGCCTATTCATGCCTGGAGTCTAGAGCCTCGAGACCTCAGCATTTTTGCATTTACCTCATCCTACTGTCTTTTGTTTTTTAATGAGCAACGATAAGCATGGCACTGCTTGCCTAAGTGTGTGTGTGTGTGTGTGTGTGTGTGCGTGTGTGTACATGCAGTGGTTTGTGTACCCACCAGAAATCATAGTTCAAGTGATTTAAGTGCAGCACAACCCACCTACAGTACACATACAAGTGAGTCACACAGATTCCACTGATACACCTATTACCAACACTGACTATTTTACTACATGTTAGGCCAGTACAGCAGAAATGACACTGAAGTATAAAAATATGGACAGCAACATTTATTTCTTTTAATTAAGCTAAGCAGTTCCAGGTTGTATTATAGTGACTTAAAAAATTAAATAAAAAGCATTATAACACGGCTGTGAACTGTTGTAACAAAGATGAGGTCAAATACCCACGGTCAACCATCCAAGGTATTTGAACAGTGCACAAAAGAGGTAAAGAAAAGGGTGTAGGCAGGGCAGTATGGATGGAAAAGAGTGTCAGGGGTGATTAGGGACACAGAGACAGAGAGTAGTGAGACCTGCTAAGATGAGTGGTTTACAGACCACATTATAGTTATGACAGGAGTATGAAGTCCAGTGGCCAGAAATAAAAATGCTGAGGTTTTCACTGATGGTGACCAGGACAGATAGGATCAGAAAGGAGCAGAGGATCAGAGGAAGTCTTGGAGATGAAGTTGGAGGCAGAGCTGATATGATCTGGACATTTACAGAGAAAAAAGAGTAGATATATTTACAGTACATATATGTAGATCTAAATAGAGATGTGAGGCAGGAGGTAAAGAGAAACACTCATGAGAGGATTTATGGATGCAGTGAAGAAAGACTTGGACTTGACTAAAACCAGCCATGGTTTCTTTTCTACCTTTGATTTGCAGCACCTTCGACCGTGCCGACCTCTGCAGTTTGGTTATAATTGGTTTAGAATTCCCTTAGTCATTGTGAAAAGGAACAACAACTGTAGGCAAAAATATAAGGTCAGGTGTTACTTGGTTTCCCCGGGCGATTAGTTTGCCTAAATTAGAGGTCGCCGACCTCCCTATTAAGTTCCTTCGCTTCTGTCACTAATGCCTTTACCCGAGGCAAAATCAGCGCCCCTGTACGGTGCAACAGCTCAGCGATAAACAATGGAGAGAACAAGGCTCCTGTAAACAAAACGCTTTCAATGTGGAAGAAACAGAACCTCAGAAATACATGAACTTAGTAACGTACTACAAATTTGTAAATGCATAGCTCTGGACGACATCCTGTCAGTATACTGCGTTACCTAAACCTACGCTCGAACATCCACAACAAAGAATCAGCCGACAGTGAATTATAAACCAATCTGACAGGAACTAACGTCTGTCTTTATTTACCATCTAGCTCTGTTAGTGTAATAGGAAGGGAGTATAATCAGAGGGTAGAGTCCCTGCTTAAAGCACAGAGCGCTCCCATAAAAGGTACCCTCACTCTCACTCTCTCTCCTTCTCTGTGAAGATGAAAGAACAACACCTCCCCGAGGACCTCACTGGGAAAATCTTCATTCTAATACATTTCTTTGCTGACTCTGATGTAAAGTGCATCTTATTGATGATGATAAGGTCACGGTAATGAGTGCATCACAGGAAAATATGCACGTGTGTGTGTGTGTGTGTCAGAGAGAGAGAAAAAGAGCTCCTTTTGCAAACAGTACATTAAAGCGAGGCATCTAATAAACACTGTTGAAGTTATGAAGCAGTAGGAGGATTACATAACGAGGCGCAGTCTAGCACCGCGTCATTAAAGCGCACCCTCCCACTGAAGAGGTCAAAGGTCAGTCTACACAGGGCTGGTGCTCAACATACACCAATACATACACAAGGTTGTGCCGCTACTTGTGTTCGTGCTCATCACTGACCCCTAAAACCTGAGCAGAAACGTATCCAAAAACTTGAAATGATCTTGGTGTTCTCTACTTGTCATGCTACTTGTGTGTGAAACGTTAACAGTAATCACAAATGAGTTGTACCTGTTCGAATGATGTACTACTTCAGGCGAAACGTCTACATTCTTTGTTTTAAGTGCTGCAGATTATAGGCAGCTGCAACAGCGATCTGCCCTACAGGTACTGATCTTTGTCTTCTTGTGCCTCTAGTGAACTCTGATTATACATAAGACTAACATCAGTGATGGAACAAGTCAAAAGAACCCACTCACCCCATTTAAAAAAAAAAAAAAAAAAAAAAAAAAAACTGCTCTCAGCTCTATCTGATATCTTTCAACTCTCATCTTCCTCCAACTGCATTTCCAAAGATTGATATTGTAATGAAATCCTGAAATATAAACTGTCATCATCATAAATATATGTATTTTTTCTTTTCAATTATTAATACTGAATCCACCAGTTCTCTCCATATCACAATCTTTATTTTTCCAGAGAATTAAAATCCAACTTACAGTAGCTAGGAATTTTATTATACTTCGTTCTGTTGGTGAGATGACATCTCCCTCCTAACTCATGGTGGACCAGACCTTCCTGTACTCCTCCCTGTCCTACTTAAAACTAGAAAAGATAAAATTAAAACTAGGTTCTTACTTACTAAGGCCCTTCTCCGGCCACTGTTGGGACCAAAAAGGTTAAGAAATGCACCTAGTGTCAAAAAAAGCACATATACACGCAGAGGATCAACTCTAATAATATTTTGCAATTAGTTACTGGTTTAACTAAAAATTAGTGATTAATTATCCGTCACATAGGTTTACGTTCTAAATGACGTGCAGACATACAGAAGGGGAAAAAACAGTTCTATTCATCTCTTCCTGTTGTAGCTAAATTTGTCATCCCACTTCTCTTGTACTACATTGTTATCCTAATTGGGGAAGCTAATTGGGAAATGGTGCCACGAGGCACTCATGAAGTTGTGTGACACGGAGAGAGCAGAGAGGAGAAAAAAAAGAACTAGAAGAAGAAATTTAAAGAAAGAAGAGAGAATCCACCGGTGTAACTTTAGAGTAGAATCAAGAAGCGATTTATAAAGGTATAAAAAAATATAAATATACTTCATATGTCTTCCCATTCTGAAGCGCTCTGTCTCATCATTCAGTTAAAAAATTATTAATTATTTTAAAAAATAAATAATTAGGAAAGCAGAATGTTCCGGTTGCTGAGGTGGTCTCCTGTCCTTTTGGAGACGAGGACATGCGGTCCATTCTTCATGACCACAGAATAGACTCATTATCAGCAGGTGGGAGTCAAATAAAAGCAGGCAATTAATTACAAGTGGATACTGAAGTGAAATGACTAAAAAGCTGTCCAACGTTGGTTTCACCTGCGAGGCAGGACAGGAGGAATATGAAGAAGAGATGAGATCACACAAAGCAGAACCAGGGCTAGGCAGCAGGATGTTTTGGTCTTTCCCTTCATGTCTGCTTTTCCCTTCGAGCCACACTCTTAAACCACAAACACAGTAATGACATGCAAGGGGCATAATTTCAAAGTAACAGCAGCTGATTAGAGGCAGGGGGAAATCACACGCAATCAGAGGCCAGGATGCCATCAGCTTTTCCCTGTCTCCCTCCTCCCAGTTCTGTTTCCACATGGCAACCAGCAGAAAGACCTCACACCTTC